ATTTATCTAGTCACAAGCATAAACCATGTGACCGTTAAATTGAAACACAAAGACTGAAAGGATGTTAACAATGAGCTTACCTGAGCAAAAACAAAGTTGCTGGAGAAGCTCAGCAGGTCTGGCAGCATCTGTGAAGGAAAAAACAGTTAACGTTTCGGGTCCAGTGACCCTTCCTCAGAACTGGGGTTCCGGGGTTCCTCAGTTCTGAGGAAGGGTCACTGGACCCAAAACGTTAACTGTTTTCTCCTTCACAGATGGTGCCAGACCTGCTGAGCTTTTCCAGCAACTTTGCTTTTGTCCCTGATTTACAGCATCCGCAGTTCTTTCGGTCTTTATTTTAGAGATGGTGTCTGGGTGTTAATGTCGAAGGAAGTGAATGTTGAAAGTGCCAAATGGAGCATCAATTAAGCAGGCTGCTTTGTTCTGAATGCTGTCAAGCTCAAATATTGTTGGAGATTCAGTCATCCAGGAAAGTGGATAGTATTCCATTACACTCCTGAATGTAGTTTGTAGATGATGGACAGGCATTGGGGAAACATGATGAGAGTACTAGCTTCAGAATGGAGGGCATAGTGGTTATGTCACTGGACCAGAAATACAGCCCCGGCAATTGTTCTAAGGACATGAATTGGTGAAATGAGAAATCAATAAAAATCTGGGATAAGCTGCTAGCCTAACCCGAATCGGGCAACTGCCAATAGTTGCAAAAGCCCATCTGGTTTACTCATGTCCTTGAGGGAAGAAATTCTGCCATTTTACCATCTGGCCCACATATGAGTCCAGACTGTCGGCAATGTGGTTGACCCTCAACTGCCCTCTAGCCAGTGACCCCCACATCCATGAACAAAAGAAGCAATTCCCTGCCTCTGTCTAGCTCCTTTAACCACAGTATTTATATAGCTAGTCCAGTTTAGTTTCTGGTCAATGGTAACCCCTAGTATGTTGATACTAGGGTATTCAGCAATACTAATACCACCGGACATCAAGAGGTGATGGCTAAATTCTCTCTTGTGGGGAAACAGCCAAAACATGACAGTTGTCTAACAATGTTGCTGGTCATTTATCAGCCCAAGCCTGTAGGCTGTCCAAGGCTTGCTAGTTATGGACTGTTCCAGTTGCAAATTATGCTTTATATTGTGCAATCTTCAGCAAACATCCATCCCCACATCTTCCCTGCATGATAAAGCGAGGTCACTGATGTATCACTTGGGCCTAGGACACTAACCTGAAGAACTTCTGCTTTGCTGATGCCCTGGGGCGAAGATGATTGACATCCAACAACCAAAAACATCGTCCAGGTGTTGAACATGACTCCACCAAGTGGAGAGTCCCACCCTCTCTCTCCTACTCACATCCACTCCAGTTGTACTCGGATTTATTGATGGCATACTCGATCAAAGGCTGCCTTGATTTGGAGGGGGGGGGAACACAGTCACTCTCACCTCATAAATGGACTTCAGCATTTTTGGACGAAGACTCTAATGAGGTCAGGAACCGTGAGCCCTGTCAGATCCCAGCTAATGCCAGTGAACAGGTTATTCCATTGCTATCAAACTGCATTTGCAATGACAATGACTCCTCTTACCACTTTGCTGACGATGAGGAGTCAACCAACAGGGCAGTAACTGGCCAGGTCGGATTGGACTTGCTTTATGTACACTTTCCATACTGTTGGGTAGATGCCAGTGTTGTAGCTATAGCAAAAATAACTTGGCTAGGGATGAGGTTAGTTCTGGAGCACCGGTCTTTAGTACTACTGTCACCAGAATGTTGTCAGGGCCAAATAGCCTATCTAGTATCCAGTATCTTGAGCTATTTCTTTGTATGACATGTAGAAATTCAAATTGACTAAGAACTAGCATCCGAGATGCACAGTACCTTGGGAAAAGGCAGAAATGCTAAGCAGTTGTGGTTACGAATGGATGCAAATACTTCAGCCATGTCTTTTGCACTATGCTTGCCTCCTCCAACATAGAGTTCCATAAGAACTGGTGGCCTTTACCCTGGAAGCAGCATCAAAAGGAATTTAGAACATGAAATCCATGTGACTGGCAAACAGGAGAAGACCTGGAGACAGAAGGTGATCAACCCATACAACAGAGCTCTGGGAGGCATGGTAAGTAAGCTAAAAAGGGTCAAAACCTGGGAGGATGTATGAACAGCTGAGCAACACTAGAGAGCTGGGAGCCAAGTAACCAAACACTGAACCAGATTGTTACTTCTCAGTCAGTTGAAAAGAAACAATTCAGAGATTTTAGGGCTGTTGTGACCCAAAAGTCAGACAATTTAACAGTGTTACTGATAATAGTTCCACCCATTTAGCTCAGGGTTGAAACTGCATTGGATAAGACTCCAGAGTTACCCTACTTGGATTTTTAAGAAATGCTCAATTTAGAAGTGTGTAGCTGCATGATACCATACATGCTTGTAGTTGTGAAACAAATCAGAAATTGCTGAAAAACCTCAGCAGGTCTGGCAGTATCTGTGGAGAGAAAGCAGAGTCAATATTTCCGGTGCAGTGATCCTTCTTCAGAACTGACTGTAACCAGGAAAAGGTGGTATACACGCGGTAGCAGGGGAGGAGGAGTGAACAACAGGTGGCGATGGAGCCCAGAGAGAGCGAGACAGAATGAACAGTTGGGCAGACAAAGGGATGCATAAATGGTGAGATAGGGAGAATGAAAAGTTAATAAAAAGGATAATTAGCAGGTGAAAATGGGTTGACTGCGATAAAAGCAATCCATATGGTGACAGGACTAGGAATTTTGGGGTGGTAAAAGATATAGGCGGTGACCAGCCCTTAAAATGATTGAATTCAACATTAAGTCCTGAAGCCCGCAGGGTTTGTAAGGATTAAAGTCAAATCTACCTTTTAATTTGAATTATCATTTGAGTATTTGTGTATGTTTAATTTGCATTAGTTCAGATCTTTGCTAATGTTACGACAAAAAAAAGTTCTCGTTGGCATTTTCTTCATGGGGGGAGGGAAGAGAATTTGGTTAATTTGGTTATTTTGGTTTATGGCCCATGAAGATTGTTACACTTAACAGTAGAAGTGCTCTATAACAGTACAAAACCCTGCTGGAGTAAAATTTGCAATTTATTTTTTCTTTTAAAACTGACAAAATATTATAATTTTACCTTTATAAAGCACTGAATTCCACAGGGACATCTCTGACTTAAACTGAAGTGCACTCCCCCACGTACTGTAGGGAAGATGTGATTAAACTTTAAAGGGTTCAGAAAGGATTTACAAGGATGTTGCTATGATTAGAGGGTTTGAGCTATAGGGAGAGGCTGTATAAACTGGGGCTATTTTCCCTGGAGCTTTGGAGGCTCTGGGGTGTGTTTATAGAGGTTTATAAAATCATAAGCAGCATGGATAAAAGTGAATAGCCAGAATCTTTTTCCCAGGGTAGGGGAGTCCAAAACTAGGCACTATTGGTTTAAGGTGAGAGGGGAAAGATTTGAAAAGGAACAGGGGCAAACTCTGGTATAATTACATTATTTAAAGGGCATATGGATGGGTACATGAATAGAAAAGGTTTAGAGACATATGGGCCAAATACTGGCACATGGGGCTAGATCAGTTTAGGATATCTGGTCAGCACGGACAAGTTGGATAGAAGGGTCTGTTTCCATGCTGTACAACTCATGACTCTCAGTCTGTGCTCATTTTTTTGTGTTTTGAAGATGGAATCTTTCTTTCAATCTATAAGTTATTCAAAAAGCACCTCACTACATATGAATTAAACAGAAATAATGTGAAGATTATATAATTGGACTCTTTCCCATACCCCTCCCCAACCCTGATAAACATGCCCACGACCAAAATATTGTATACAAAATATACGTTCTCAGATTAATGTGCTTCTTTGAAAAATAAAACCAGAAAGCAGCATGCTGTCTACATTACAGACCTGGGGAGATAGTCTAGTGTTGTATATTTTTTTCTTTCAAATACAACTAATTGCAATAGCTTTCAGAATTTGTTGACCGAAGGCAGCCCAAGCCAAAAGACAGCATTTTCCTTCAAATAAATCTTCTAGCTCTTCCACTAATGTTTTATCACAGGTCTCCTTCAGATCTTGGGTACTATCAAAAATCACAATGGTGTAATCACAAAATCTCAGCAAGAGAGAGTAGGAAAGGGAAAGAATGGAGGAAATGGTGAGGTACAGCAACTGAGGCAAGGAAAAATAAAACTCTGGGGCAGGAGTGCAGGATCTAGCATTCACGGCTAGACCATATTTTCCCCTTTTCGTGAAAAAATGTAAAGGTCTAGATCAAAAGATTTCTACTAGTAAGGACAAATAAAAAGATGGTTGAGAAAAATCAAACTTTTTCTGCCTAAGTGTGTTTTAAAATCAAGACTGTTTGCATTTCCTGCATGTTCAGTTCACAGACATTTCTTAATTTGCTCAGGATATCAACATTGCTGGCTGGGCCAGCAAATATTGCCCTTCCGTAACTGACCTTGAGAAGGTGGTAGTGACCCGCAGGATTGAGCACATTTTTAGAAATTTGGTCATATAACATATTTGTGACACTACTCATTTTTAAACTAGCTTGTGTTAAATAATTAAGACATACATATGATTTGTGCCCACTTAAATGGGGCATGAGATAGTTAGTGAACTTTATGGACACTACTTAACTCCCTCCGTTACCAAACTCCTCCCAATGCTTGTAATTTATCTAAAACCTCAAACTTCAGGATTTTACCTGCACCACTAAGTAACACAGCCGAACAACTCTTCATCCACTAATGAAATTCTCTTTCTCCTCTCCATTGCCAGCATCCATTCCTTAGACTCAACCTTTTATTTTATGATTTTAGGTAAGTATCATTACTATGACTAGTATTTGTCCAAATTTTCTTCAATTCTTCCTTTCAAGTTCAAAATACACCAAGGTACTGTATTCCCCGTCCCTACATTTCCACTGTACTAAAATTAAGATTCTTCATACAGTTGCTGTTGGCATTACTCTGCATTGCAATCCAACTGTTAAAATAAGCTAACCAACTATGAACATCTAACATCCATTTATATTTTGCTTTTAAAAAATTGATGCAATGACAATTAGTACTTTTTCTTACCCTGATAAATTTTAATTCTGGAAGGGACCAAGGAGACAAGAAACCAGAATGTCATATCCCTGATTCCTCCTTCTTGAGAAATGACTTTGTTTTCTTCAAACTCATTCGGGTTCTATAATGGAAACAGACCGGTCAAACAGGGGAAAGAGAGTTTGCAATAGATTTTTGAAATATTATTGTAATCATTGCAAATAGAGTAAAATGTTAGAAAACATGAAGCTGTTTATTTTGGAAGGGAGAACAAAAGAACAGTATCATTTAAATAGAGAAAAACTGCTAAAAGCTGCAATGGGACTTGGGGGTACTTGTGTATGAAACACAAACAGCTAGCACACAGGTGCAGCAGATAATCAGGGAGGCAAATGAAATGTTGACTTTTATTTCAAGGGATTGGAGCACAAGAGTAGGGACGGTCTTAGTGGCAACAGTACAAGGTGCTGGTGAGATCACATCTGGAGTACAGAGAGCAGTTTTGAGGAATTTCATTGGAGACAGTTCAGAGAAGGTTCACTAGGATGATTCCTGGTATGGAGTGATTGTCTTATGAGGAAAGAATGAGAGGTGATCTTGTTGAAACATAAAGATTCTTCAAAGGCTTGAGAGGGTAAATGCTGAGAGGATATTTCCCCTCACGGGAGGGCCTAAGACCAGATGGCACTGTCTCAGAATAAGGGGGCGTCAATTTAAGACTCAGATGAGGAGGAATTTCTTCTCTAGCAGGGTTGAGTGTGAATAGAATTTCCTGCCACAGAGAGTTGTGGGGCAGAGTCCTTGTGTATATTCAAGAATCTCTCTATCTCAGCCTTAAGTAGGAGAAATCAAGAGTTATGGGGGAAAAGTAGGAAGGTGAATGTAAGGAATATTGGATCAGCCACGATTCTATTGAATGGTGGAGCAGACTTGAGGGGCTAAAAGGCCAACTGCTGTTCCCATTTCTTACTGTCTGATTGCTTCATACTTTGCTAATTATCCACTCCTTTAGTGAAACAAATTCATCCAACTTTGCTTTATACAACTAATTTTTATAAAACACCCTTAATGTAATCAAACGCCCAATACACTTCATTGGAAGGTTGGTAATCCGAATGATATCAAGCCAAATAAGGTAAAAATAGATCATATGATAACATTTTTGGTCACTTAAAGAAAAGAAAGTAGGTAGGAAGACGGAGAGATCTGAGAAATAAATTCCAGAGCTTAGGGCACATGCATTGAAGACACAGCCATCAGGATGGAACATTCAAAAATCAGGATGCTCAAGGGGCTAGAATTAAATGAGTTCCGAATATCTGACAGTCTGGAGGTTAATATGGAAATCAGGGGAAAGCGTCATGCAGAGATATGGCGATAAAGGTTAGGAATTGTAAGATCAAAACATTACTAAAGTAATTCACTGAGCACAAGGAAGTTTCGTGAATGGAATGGCACAAAACAAGCCACGGGCAACAGGGTTTTGGATGGTTTCAAATTTCCAGGAAGGAGAATGTGGAAGATCAGAAAGTGGCGTATTTGAAAATTCAAACATGGAGATGCATATAGTGGTCTTAATGATGGTGCAATTATGACATGATCATTACAAACAGGTCACTTTAGTCTCTGATAGTTACGAGAGAGAGGAAGTAAATTAGCAGCTTTCATTTGACAATCTGGTGCTTGCTAATGTGATGAAGAAATTATAATTCCTTCTAAGTAAGGCAGAAGCTGGCATATCCATTGGCACAACAGCAGACAATTCTGACGAAAAGACATTTCTCGGTTTCCCTTTCCCATCAGAAGCTACCCAGCCTGTTCAATATTTCCAGTATTTTATTTCTGTTTCAGATTTCCATCATACACAGTAATTTTTTTATAACCTCAATTAGCATTGGCTCACAATCTGTTAAAATGCTTTTGTTTAAAATGAGCGTATTTATAATTGTGAATGATTCTGCTGTTTGCATCATAAATTTTTCAAGTTTTAGAGGCACATGTGGATTACAGTATGTGCTGTAATTTCCCCACAAGGGAAGGCAATGGCCTAGTGATATTATTTGCTCATCAAAAGAATGAATTAAAAAACAACAGGCCACAAATACTTGAAACCATGAAGGAATTGTTACTTTTTTTCAGCAAAACGTGCACAGAAATGATCTGCTTCCATCCAAAGTGCCAACTATAAATATTTATATTTAATTATAAATATTTATAAAAATAATACAAACACACACTCACTCACACACTTCCACTGCCTTGTCCATCCGAGGCAAAGCAGCCTGCTTGATCGGTAGCACATCTGCAAACATTCACTCCCTCCACCGCCACTCAGTAGTAGTGTGTACCATTTACAGATGCACTGCAGAAATTCACCAAGCCTCCTTAATCAGCATCTTCCAGACCTGACCATCACCACCACCACCATCTAGAAGGGTAAGAGTTGCAGATGCATGAGAAAACCATCATTTGCAAGTTCCCCTTCAAGCCACTCAGCACCCTGACTTTGAAATATATCACCATCCCTGCCACGTCACTGGATCAAAATCTTGGAACTTCCTCCCCAAAAGCATTGTGGGTCCTCTAAACAGACTGCACTAGTTCAAGACAGCAACCACCACTTTCTCAAAAGGCATGTAAAATGGGCTTTAAATGCTGGCCCAGCCAGCAAACTCCAAATCCCATGAATATTTTTTTAAAAATTGTTTTGCCATGCACTGTGGATTTGTTGTTTATCTTGTTTGTTTTCTGCTCTCCTCCAATTTGCTAACATTTGCTGGATTTTATTTCTTCAGATACTAGTAGCCCTTAGTCCCTACCCAAAGTTGCCATTTTCAATGTGCAAGCATACAATTCATTTCCACAGAATAGCCTGAAGAACAGTACTTGGGACTACAGTAAGAAAGCTGTCAAATTCATGAAAAAAAACTCAGCAAAATTCAGCAGCATGGGAAGACAGAATGCAGGGATTGAGTACTCTATTGAAAATATGGCTTTCATTTTAGATTGACTTAATGGATAGTTATGTAATGAATAGCACTAAAAACAAGATATATATTGTTAACAAGCACAAACACATTCTGATAGTAAAACATGTGGCACATTATGTTGAACATAATACATAAATAACCACAACAAATACAACTTTGACTATTCACTTCACATTTTTTCATCTTGCAACAAATTTCAAAACCATGTCAACACTAAATAGCACTTCACAACTGTAAATTTACCAAATTTTATTTGACCACTTCAATGAAAATGCCAGCTGCAAAAGTGGAAGAAAATTTCTTCCATCACGAACAGTAACATCCAACGTACAACATAACACTAATCGTCTGAATAATCAGGTCCCTCATGCAGCAGTTTTATAGACACGGAAATGATGAATACATTAAAACAAAATGATAATTTATCACTTTATTCACCAAGAGATTTTTTTAAAAATGAAATGAAGCAGCATCCGTCCAGAGATTTTGGGAGATAATTGTATTCCTTATATTCTTCCTTTCTAAAGGGTAAGAAAAGCATAAAAATCTGGCAACAAGTCTTCTTCACTTCCTCCCATTCTGGGAACAGTACATATTGATTTGGGAAATAGAAATTAAAGTATTAATTTAGCGCATGGCTGGGCAGGTGTTATCGCTTCCTTCCCTTCAGTTTAAAACATCCTGTAAAAGGAAGTATTTTCATAGACAGCAACAGGAACTGTTATTAAAAAGAAGCAATAGAGCTGGATGAACACAGCAGGCCAGGCAGCATCAGAGGAACAGGAAAGCTGACGTTTCGGTTCTGGACTTTCCTGCTCCTCTGATGCTGCCTGGCCTGCTGTGTTCATCCAGCTCTACACCTTGTTAAAATGAAGAGCAGTTCTTTTACACAACATTTTAATATAGTACACCTGTTTATAATTCATTTCTTTTTTAGGAGCCCTCATTGGAATACAGACCTTAAAGTAAAAGTTACATTCAAAAAAAAAGTAGCACTCCTGCAGATAAAACAGTGAAAATGTAAATTAAAGTTAGCACTATTTTCTCTGAGCTCTTAATTAGAAGCATGTGCATTGTGTTTTATAATAATATTACCTCCAAAGAAATATAAAATTTCAGATTGCAAACCTGACAAGGAGGGTTGCATACTAATGGAAAAGCTGATTTAACAAACTACAAGCAAAACTCATGTATTTAACTGTACCAGTCACATCAGAATAACAATCTATCATTGCTTATATGTATAGCTTTGTTAATTGTTACTAATGCAAAAACAGTACACTCAATAGCCAGTATGACATTTTTGACATGTGACAACATTCACAAAAGAACTAATGATATCAAAAGATTGCCATATTCAGTATGCAAATTAAACAAGTTAATCTACTCCCATTTTGTGAGCAATTTCTTGGACACCAAGGAAGTGAAAAAACAGTAACTACAGCTTTGTATGAAAAACTGGTCTCTGCTACTCGACTACATAAGCTAGTACTGATATCAATACCATCTACCACTTCTTTAAAAAAAAACTTGTATTATTGGTGAGGCTGGGAGAAACTACCACTCACAAACAGCAGCCAAGAACTTTCATTCCTATTATATAATGTAGCAAAAAAACTTGTCATTGCCAACACAGTATATGCAATTGAATCCAAATGAATTCGACTGCGCATTTGACAATGTGTGTTTGCTAGTCACTGATCCAATTTGAGTTATGAAAGAGTAACCAACAAAAACAGATTAAATAGTACAAGAAATAATCATTAAATGTTGTCATTGCTCAAGACAAAATCAAAATATCTGGTAATGTCAATTCCTGGAAGAGTAAGATTCAAGAAAAACTTTGCACCTGGTTAGTTACTAACTGTAATAGCATAGTTTTCAAATGGTGCTTTGATTTTCCTGTCAAATTAATTCCTTGAGTCAACACTCGTCGGTATGGCTACACCTTTTATTTTTTCAAAAGCTTCAGAAATATCAAGTCCAAAAGTACTTCACAGAAAGATTATAAACAAAACAAACACTGAGCCTCACAAGGAGATACTGGATCAGATGACTAGGATAGTAGTTTTGAGGAACATCATAAAAGGAAGAAAACCAGATAGAGGGGCATAAAGAGAATTCTAGGACTTAGGGCCTATGTCTTTCAAGGCATGATCACTAATTGCACAGCTGTTAAAATCAAGACAATAATATTGCTAATAAAGACATTTTGTCAAAGCCTTTCACCTGCAGTCACCAAAACAATTGGCAACATCAAGTCAAGGGGAAAATGAATATTTATACTGAATGAGAGAAGAGTGTTGATTGCTTGGCAAATGGACACTAATTGGCAAAGGCATTGCCATAGAGAATGCACTAATAATGAATAATATTTAAATGCCAGAACACATACTGCACCTATTTTAATTCATTTGCTAGTTTACTTCTCAGGATAATGCCACAATCAGAGTCAAGCGGTCAAGTGTGGACATCACTCAAATGACAAGCTCATTCAGAGAACTAGCTCAAACAGGATGGACTGAAAGGCTGTTTCTGCACATCTCCCATTCTATAAACTAATGTTTACTTATCAAACTCCTATATGTAAATCTTAGTTTCCTTACGTCCTACATCGCAACAGTGCTGACACTTCAGAAGCGACTTAATTATGAAGCACTTTGGGATGTCCTGGGGTTAAGAAGGGCGCTATATAAATGAAAGTTCTTCTATACAGCTGAGAGGTGTCTGCTGCACGTAAGGACGTCGACCGCTTCAATTATGAGACAGAGGAGGAGAATTCATTAGGAGATATGCAGCATACGTGTGGAAATAGGAACAAATGGTCTCAGCCGCTTTTAAATTAGCAGCAAAAGTGAATGCCACCTCCCTCGTCCTCTTCCAAGAAAATAAAGACGAGAATTTGCTTCTGCACTGCTCATGAACTGCAGCTCACGATTGCACCATTTCTGCAACAAATGGTTCTGCCGCTCCAGTTGACAGGTTTCCTCCCACTAGCAGAGGCCTAATGCTTTCCTCCTGCGGCTAGAAACTGCGGGAGGGTGAAGGAGCTCATCCCTTCATCAAACGGATCTTCCATCAGGCCCAGCACCCCCAACCTCGCTCCCGTCTAAATAAACATCAATAATAATCCTTACCAAGACATCATCTCTTACCTGGGACTGTCTTTTATCCCCTCACTCCTCCCTCGCCAGAACAGAGAGTCTGCCCGCCGGCACGTCTTTTCCCTTCACGCCGGCCACAAACATAAAACGGTAACGGCGGCCGATGCAGCAACCGTCCCGCTCAACGCCCGCCTACTCCATCCAATACGCACGCGCACGCGCCCGCCCTGGCCCATAGGGAAGGACCATGGGAGCTGTAGTCACCCTTTTCACACTTCGACCGGGTCCAGTAGACATTAAACTACAACTCCCAGACATCACCGCGCTCTCCCCTTCAAGGCAGCCTTTTTCGTGTTGGGGCAAAATGACAGGACAGGGCAAACATTAGCCATCATTCGAAGTCAGTCAGTTAGATTTTCCCATTGCTAATCCAGTTTCAGACAGTAATAACAACTAAAACTGATATTGCAGATAAAACGAATTATCTCACTAAGAGAGTTTTCAGGTAGCATCATTCTTCATTTAGTAGCAAGCCGCATTGAAAAGATAACTCCATGTTTCTTCCGTTAATTCTTTTTGATAACATTTAATGCATACAAATTTAACGAATCACATGCAGAAAAGATTAGTGGAAATTATCTATAATTGTGTTAAATTGTTAAGAATTACATTGAAAGAGAACTATGATTCTTAGTAGGCTCAATATTCACTATGCCTTACTAATATAGCTAGTATTACGAGTTTTCAGAGCTGTAAAAACAGTCCATAACATGGCACAGGAAGACATCATCAAATTGTAACATTATTAGATGATACTTTGATAGCTGATTCTAATTATCTTTTCAATTAAGCATAGAAACATAGAAGGTAGGAGCAGAGTAAGCCATTTAGCCCTCGAGCCTGCTCCGCCATTCTTCACAATCATAGCTGATTGTCCAACTCAGTTACCTAATCCTGCTTTCCCCCCATAACCTTTGATCCCATTCACCCCAAGGCTATATCTAGTTGCGTCTTGAATACTTCAATGTTTTGGCATAAACTTGGATGAAGGAGTGGAATGGTGGATTAGCAAGTTCGCGGACAATACGAAGGTGGGTCGTGTTGTGGACAGTGCGGAGGGCTGTTCTAGGTTACAAAGGGACATTGATAAGATGCAGAGCTGGGCTGAGAAGTGGCAGATGGAGTTTAACCCTGAAAAGTGTGAGGTGATTCATTTTGGAAGGACAAACTTGAAAGCAGAATACAGCGTTAACGGAAAGATTCCTGGCAGTGTGGAGGAGCAGAGGGATCTTGGGGTTCATGTTCACAGTTCCCTGAAAGCTGCCACCCAGGTGGATAGAGTTGTTAAGAAGGCATATTGTGTGTTAGCTTTCATTAATAGAGGGATCGAGTTCAAGAGCTGTGAAGTTATGCTCCAGCTATACAAAAGCCTGGTTCGGCCACATCTGGAGTATTGTGTCCAGTTCTGGTCACCTCATTACAGAAAAGATGTGGAGGCGTTGGAAAAGGTGCAGAGGAGATTTACCAGGATGTTGCCTGGAATGGAGGGAAGGTCTTACGAGGAAAGGTTGAGAGAGCTAGGGTTCTTCTCTTTAGAACAACGAAGGATGAGAGGTGACTTGATAGAGGTGTACAAAATGATCAGAGGTATAGATAGAGTAGACAGCCAGAGACTTTTTCCTAGGGTGGAGGTAGCTATTACGAGGGGGCATAGTTTTAAAGTGAGTGGAGGTAGATACAGGGGAGACGTTAGAGGTAGGTTCTTTACTCAGAGAGTGGTCGGGGCATGGAATGCACTGCCGGAGAGGGTAGTGGAGTTGGCCTCATTAGGGGCATTTAAGCAGCTGTTAGATAGGCATATGGATGATAGTATAAGGTAGGGCTGGAGGTTAGATAGACCTTAGGATTAGGGTAAAGGTTTGGCACAATATCGTGGGCCTAAGGGCCTGTACTGTACTGTGCTGTACTGTTCTATGTTCTATGTTCAATGTTAACTACTTCTTGTGGTAACAAATTATACAGGCTCACCACTCTTTGGGTGAAGAAATGTCTCCTCATCTCCATCCTAAATCATCTACCCCAAATCCTCATGCCGTGACCCCTTGTTCTGGACACACCCACCATCGGGAACATCTTTCCTGCATCGATCCTATCCAGTCCTGTTATAATTTTATAAGTCTCTATGAGATCCCCCCTCATTCGTCTGAACTCTGGTGAAAACAATCCCCACCTAGGCAATCTCTCCTTATACGTCAGATCCGCCATCCGTGGAATCAGCCTGGTAAACCTTTGTTGCACTCCCTCGAGAGCAAGAGTATCCTTCCTCAGAAAATGAGACCAAAACTACACACAATACTCTAGGTGTGGCCTCACTGAGGCCCCGTATAACTGCAAAACACATCCCTGCTCCTGTACTCAAAATCTTTTGCAACGAAGGCCAACATATCATTTGCCTTCTTTAATGCTTGCTGCACCTGCACGCTTACTTTCAGCAACTGGTGCACAAGGATGTGCAGGTCCCACTGAGGGCTCCCCTCTCCCAATTTACAGCCATTCAGGTAGTAATCTGTCTTCTTGTTTTTACTTCCGGAGTGAATAACTTCACATTTATCCAAATTATACTGCGTCTGCCATTGATTTGCCCACTCACCCAACCTGTTGAGATCATGCTGAAGGATCTCTGCATCCTCGTCACAGTTCACCCTCCCACCCAACTTGGTATCATCTGCAAACTTGGAGATATTGCATTTTGTTCCCTCATCCAAATCATTAATATATATTGTGAATAGCTGGGGTCCCAGTACCGATCCTTGTGGCACCTCTCTGCCTGCCAATTTGAAAAGAACCCATTAATTCCTACTCTTTGTTTCCTCTCTGCCAACCAGTTTCCTATCCATCTCAATACACTTCTCCCAATCCCATGCACTTAAATCTTGCACATTAATATCTTATGTGGGTTTGGAGGACAGCACATAAATTTAAACCAGTGTAGAATAACTTTGGAACTTCTTCACATAGAAACGTGGTTTCTAGATAAATAAAGCCCTAGAATAATGTAAGAAATAGTTCAATGCAATAATATGCAATAATATAGGCAAAATGTTGTTTGGCTCTTTTGGAAGATGGATCAAGATAATTTGGAAAGACCTCCCTATTCATAAGAATCTTGCTTAAAGAAAATTTCTTCACTTACAGAGAAGTATGCTGTAGTATCAACTCATGGAACACAACATTAGTAAGAAACCATGTTACATGTCAAGTAGGTTGAATTAAATGTAGATAAAACTAACCTTATAAGATTATTTCTATTTTTCCGTTTAGTAAGTACTTTCTGAGGCTAAGGTTTCATGATGTATTGAGTTACTGTGCAGCATTTCCTGACCAGCTGTATAATTTTGTAAATGATAAGAGCCCTTATTAGGTTTTACTGGCAGCTTTCAAATTCTTCCTTAAAAGAATATTTCAATCTTTATCGAGGCTGGCACTCTTTTTAACAATACTAATGTACCATTCAAAACCACTTTATCAAAATGACAAAAGTACTATTCATTAAATTTATAAATTTGATGAACCGTGTTATTAATTACACAATTTAATAATTAAATGATCTGTCAAAGCCCACAATTGTTGTTTTGCTGGTCCTCCTTTATAGAATATTCCATCCCAATTCAACTCTTATCTCATTTTCACTTTTTTTTATTTGAAATGCTAAATAGTATTGCCCGTTTCTTTACCTGACAGATTGGAAGGTCATGCACACAAAATGTCTTGTCGGTTATTATGAAAGGTGGCTAAAATGAATGCAAGTGGAAAATCTTTTTTCAGTTACAGTACTGGGTAAGCAATATCTTCTTCCACCTCCTGCACCCTGTGTTATTCAGTTTATAACAGGATTTTTCCAGCTGACTGTGACCCAAAAAAACACGCTGGTCTGCAAAACTGAAGCGAAATGCTTCATTGTTTTATATACAGCAGAGCTAATTGGACCCTGCTGAAGTCGATTGGATATTTATTTTTTAAAGTAAAATTAATTTAATCCTCATTAAATTTCAGTAATCTAGGGCACAGTTGAATCAAATTTCTGATATACATTGAAATGAGAGCAAGATCCCAATTTTTGAAACAGGGAAGGGAATAATTCAAATGATACAGGGCATAATGTGAAATACCATGTATTAGAATAGAACGATTAAGTCAGAGGATAAAAAAGCAATAGCCAGTGGGATTGGATTGTCTCAGACCTACAAGTCTAAATATTCAACTCTCAAGTCTACAATGTCATTTTTTGAAGCTCAGTGGATTACAGAATATTTCAAGGCTTTGGGACTTCATTGTCCTATCTAGCATATAAGCAATCCAAGCAATGGTATCACATTTTCTCATTACCATGCTTGGAAAGATCCTTTTAAGAATCATAAAATGAGAAATAAAAGGCTATGTGATGAAACAAAGCAATTTGATCAAATGAGTCTGCTCCCTCTAAGGGACTATCATTGTATGAAACAAACCCAAATATGCTGAATTAGACGAATACCCACTGGTATAAGATTAGTGATCTACTCAATGAATTTCTGCAGGACATCAGGAATTTTTTAAAAGATGATTTTCAGAAAACAGTCTAACCCCTATATTTTTGGTCTCCTAGATATACCACGCATCTTTGGGCCTGATTTTCATTCATGGATGGAGAACTCAGAGATATTCCCCAGCTCCACAAAATCAAAACCTCACCCTGGAAGATGAATCTTAGCTCTGGGGAGGTAGGGTTCCTTTGAAGATGGGATTGGTGACCCTGGAACAAGAGCCAAGGCTGCATATAGATGCAGGCTGAGTGTAAGGCGTGCCTGTATGATATGGCATTGTATGAAAGACTAAAACAAACTATTGAAACCAAAGACAGCTCTTCACCTTCACCTCTAATATGTCTTCCCTCCTACATACACTCCCAATTCCCCATCCATACTCATCTGTGTCACTAGTGATCTGCATCCACCCACCCCAATCCTCATAGACCAGGTGCCATCGTGTGTCCATATGCACACCACCATGTTCCTCTGTACTCCCATGCCAATTTAAACCATTGTACCAACCCCCATTCTTCCTCCATACTATTAATGGCAAACAATCCCCCCATATATACCCATGAAGCCCCAATGCAAACTTAGTGTCAGCATGCCAACCCATAAGCCCACCATCATTCTTTACCCTCCCGTACCAATATTCACCGAGTATCCACCATGGTCAAACTTCAGGAGAATGTTATCGGCAGTCATCACCATTAGGGCCTCCACAGTGAAAATGTTGAGGAATGTGGGCATCACTGAGGTATTATGTTAGCTTGAAGGACATGGAGGAAAGTTGAAGATGGGGTTCAGTCTGCTGGGTCTCCAAATGGGACATGATTAGTGAAAATGGGTTGTCACGTTGTATCAGGTACAACGTGATTTGAAGAATATGGAGGGGTACCTGGGTGACCAGGTGGAGCTCGATGCTGACAGTGTCCCTGCATTTCCTGCCATCACTTTGCCATTTCCAGAGTGAAATGCAATTGGAAAATGGCTGGGACAATACTCAGGGTGAATGGAGACAGCATCACTGATGGACAAAAGTGCAGGATCCACATCTAGGACACTAGGATCTTGAAGGAGTAAATACACAGAGTCATAGAGACATACAGCATGGAAACAGACCCTTTGTCCAACTCATCCATGCCGACCAGATATCCTAAATAAATCTAGTCCCAATTGCCAGCATTTGGCCCATTTCCCTCTAAACCCTTCCTACTCATATACCCATCCAGATGGCTTTTAAATGTTGTAATTGTACCAGCCTCCACCACCGCCTCTGGCAGCTCATTCCATACATGCACCACCCTCTGCGTGAAAAAGTTGCCAGTTACATCCCTTTTAAATCTTTTCCTTCTCACCTTAAACTTATGCCCTCTAATTTTGGACAACCCTACTCTGGGAAAAAGACCTTGTCTACTACCCTCTCCATGCCCCCTCATGATTTATAAACCTCTGTGATGTCATCCCTAAGCCTCCAATGTTCCAGGGAAAATAGCCCCAGTCTGTTCAAACCCTCCAACTCTGACAATATCCTTGTAAATCTTTTCTCAATCTGTAATTTCACAACATCCTTCCTACAGCAGGGAGAACAGAATTGTACACAGTACTCCAATAGTTGCCGAATCAATGTCCTGTACAGCCTAAATATGACCTCCCAACTGCTATACTCAATGCACTGACCAATAAATACAAGCATACCAAATGCCTTCCTCACTATCCTATCTACCTGCAACACTACTTTCAAGGAACTATGAACGTGCACTCCAAGGTCTCTTTGTTCAGCAACACTCCCCAGGACCTTACCATTAAGTGTATAAGTCCTGCCCTGATTTGCCTTTCCAAAATGCACCACCTCACATTTATCTAAATTAAACTCCATCTGCCATTCCTTGGCCCATTGGCCCATCTGATCAAGATGCCGTTGTACTCTGAGATAACCTTCTTTGCTGTCTACTACACCACCGATTTTGGTATTATCTGCAAACTTACTAACCGTCTCCTATGTTCACATCCAAATCATTTATATAAATGATTAAAAGCAGTAGACCCAGCATCGATCCTTGCAGCACATCACTGGTCTCAGGCCTCCAGTCTGAATAGCAACCCTCCAACACTACCTTCTGTCTTCTATCTTTGAGCCAATTTTGTATCCAAATGGTGAGTTCTCCCTCTATTCCATGTGACCTAACCTTGCTAACCAGTCTATCATGAGGAACCTTGTTGAATGCTTTATTGAAGGAAATATAGATTACGTTCGCCACTCTGCTGTCATCAATCCTCTTTGTCACTTCTTCAAAAAACTCAATCAAGTTAGTGAGACATGATTTCCCACGCACAAAGCCATGTTGACTATCCTTAATCAGTCCTTGCTTTTCCAAATACATGTAAATCCTATCCCTCAGGATTCCCTCCAACAACTTGCCCACCACTGATGTCAGGCTCATCAGTCTGTAGTTCTTTGGCTTTTCCTTACCATGTTCCTTAAATTGTGGCACTTAGTTAGCCAACTTCCAGTCTCCGGTACCTCGCTATTGATGATACAAATATCTCAGCAAAGGACCCAGCAATCATTTCCATAGCTTCCCATAGAGTTCTAGATCAGGTCCCAGGAATTTATTCATATTAATGCCTTTTAAGATGTTCAGCAACTCCTCCTCTGTAATATGGACATTTTTCAAGAGATTGCCATTTATTTTCTCATGTTCTGTATCTTCCATATCCTTCTCTACAGTAAACACTGATGCAAAATATTCATTTAATATCTCCCCATCTCCTGCAGTACCACACATAGGTAGCCTTGCTGATCTTTAAGGGGCCCCTAGTTACCGATTTGACCTTAATATGTTTGGCGAATCCCTTTGGATTCTGATTAACCCTATTTGCCAAAGCTATCTCATGTCTCCCTTTTGCCGTCCTGATTTCCCTCTTAAGTATACTCTTACTGCCTTTATATTCTTCTAGGGATTCACTCAATCTCTGCTGTCTATGCCTGACATATGCTTTCTTCTTATTCTTAGCCAAAACCTCAATTTCTCTAGTCATCCAGCAGTCCCTACATCTATCAGCCTTGCCCTTCACCCTAACAGAAACATACTGTCTCTGGACTCTCATTATCTTGTTTTTGAAGTCTTCCCATTTTCCAGCCGTCCCTTTACCTGCGAACATTTGCCCCCTGTCAATTTTTGAAAGATCTTGCCTAATACCATCAACAGGATCCTTCCTCCAATTTAGAACTTTAACTTTAAAATCTGGTCTATCCTTTTCCATCACGGTTTTAAAACTGAAGGAATTATGGTCACTGGCCCCAAAATGCTCCCCCACTGACACCTCAGTCACCTGCGCTCCCTTATTTCCCAAGAGTAGTTCAAGTTTTGCACCTTGTCTAATAGGTACATCCACTTACTGAATCAGAAAATTTTCTTGTACACACTTAACAAATTCCTCTCCATCCAATCCCTTAACACTATGGCAGTTTATGTTTGGAAGGTTAAAACCCCTACCACAACCACCGTATTATTCTTACAGATAACGAAGATGTCCTTACAAATTTGTTTCTCAATTTCCCACTCACTATTGGGGGATCTATAATACAATCCCAATAAGGTGGTCATCCCTTCCTTATTTCTCAGTTCCACCCAAGTAACTTCCCTGGACATATTCCCAAGTATATCCTCCCCAAATATAGCCATGATGTTATCCCTAATCAAAAATGCCACTCCCCCTCCTCTCTTGCCACCCTTTCAATCCTTCTGATAGCATCTATACCCTGGAACATTAAGCTGCCAGCCCTGTCCATCCCTGAGCCACGTCTCTGTTATTGCTATGATATCCCAGACCCATGTTCCTAACCATGCCGAGTTCATCTGCTTTACCTGTTAGGCCTCTTGCATTAAAATAAATGCAGTTTAATTTATCAGTCCTACCTTGTTCTCTATTTTGTTCCTGCCTGCCCTGACTGTTTGACTTACTCTTTCTCCCAACTGTACTAGTCTCAGACTGATCTTTTTCCTCACTATCCCCTGGGTACTCACCCTCACACCCCCCTCCCCCACCCCCACCCCCTTACTAGTTTAAATCCACCCGAGCAGCTCCAGTAAATCTCTCCACCAGTATATTAGTCCAATTCAGGTGAAATCCATCCTTCTTATACAGTTACTTCTACCCCAGAATGTGGATTTGATGATATTGGACTGGGGTAGACAATATCAAAAATCACACGACACCAGGTTATAGCCTAACAGGTTTATTTGAAAACGCAAATAACTAGAAAGGAATCTGGATTTTGCACTTCAATCAGTGGTCTCCTTCCTAACTGATTAAAGATTCAATAAGAGGCAGCCAGTTTTAAGATTGTTACCTTTCTGCTTATAAAGTCTGTGTCTTATACCCTCTCTCTCACACTATGCCCGAGGAATGAGCTGCACTTCAAAAGCTTGTACTTTCAAATAAACCTGTTGGACTATAACCTAATGTCGTGTGACTTTTGACCTCTACCCCAGAAGACATTTCAATGTGAATCCTTCTCCCCTGCACCAGCTCCTCAACCATGCATTCATCTGCTCTATCCTCCTATTCCTACCCTCACTGGCTCGTGGCACTGGGAGTAATTCAGATATTATTACCCTGGAGGAGCCATTTTTTAAATTCCTGCCTAACTTCCGATATTCTCTCCTCAGAATCTCATCCTTTTCTCTCCCTATGTCATTAGTTCCAATGTGTACAACAACCTCCTGCTGGTCCCTCTCCCCTTTGAGAATATTTTGCACCCCCTCTGAAATATCTTTGATCCTGGTTCCAGGGAGGCAACACACCATTCTGATGTCTTGCTGTTGGCTGCAGAATTATCTGTCTGTGCCTCTAATTAGAGAGTCTCCTATCACAAGCGATTGCTTAGAACCTGGTGTACCCCTCGTTACATTAGAGCCAGTCTTGGTACCAGAAATCTGGCTATCAGCGCTATATTGCCTTGAGAATCCATCGCCCCCTACATTTTCCAAAACAATTTACTTGTTTGAGATGGGGATATCCACAGGAAACTCCTGCACTGCCTGCCTCCCTCTCCTACCTTTTCTGGAGGTAACCCATCTACCTAACTGTATCTTTGGTTTATCTCCCTCCCTGAAACTGCCATCCATCACACCTTCTAGCTCCTGTAAATTCCTCATTGCCTCTAACTGCCGCTCCAATCGATCCATGCAATCCGATAGAATTCACAACCGAACACACTTCCTATAGACATAATCATCAGTAAGATGGAAACTCTCCCCAATCTCCCACATTCGACAGGGAGATCACATCACTCTACTCAAGACCATC